ATTCAGCTTAAACTAATTAAGAACTGTGATCTGCAGCACTACCCCAGTGTGTAATTTTACATGTGTAACACAGTACATGTAGCCACAACTATAGGAATTCTGCTAAACTATGATATAAGCATAACAATGAAGTTTGACTATCACTAATTTCCATGGGCGTCACATGGAAAAGCAATTGCATAAATTACTTCACCTGGGAATTTAATATAATGTTATCACCAGACCAGCCACATGGTAAATGGATTTATAATACTTTCCATATGCTAGGCTATGTTGCACATGAATTAAGCAATAAATTAGTATTACAATACAAGCAGTTTTTTTCCATACCTGGTGGATAGAGTATTTGTTAAATTATTGCCAATAGAGCCACATCAACAACTTCAAAATGGAAACAGCATTGGAAAAAGAAAAAAATCACTATAGGACATAAGCAGTTTCACATAGTGACTAAATGAGAATTAGACAGGAAAAGGTGCCCCAAATAATCAGCCCTCAATATCTGTATAACAAAATTTAGGATTGATATTTCTCTTAATTTTCAGCTTAATTTTTATTTTATATTTTACATTACTTGCTGTCAGTCTGTCATTTTAGAACAGGCAAAAATTAGCCAGTTCAATTTAATTCAATACATTTTCAGTAATTAGCCAAAATCAGAGCCATAGTACTTTCCCATGACATCTCAACCTTATAAACACATATACTATCTATACATACTTATGTCTGTGTGTGTGTGTTAAAACCTTAATTCAGTTATTTTCAAAAAGTATACAGATAACAAAAAGATATAGAAGAAAAAGCATTATTCATATACTTGTTTATTATATTTTAATAAAGTCCAATCAACTTCAAAATCAACTATAAACTGTGTGACATTATTGTAATAAAAGCAGAAAGCAAGAGTTGAATCCAGCCTATTAGATGCACCAATTTATCCCATATAATGGGACATTACACAATGGAATTTCTCTGTCTACTTCTAACCACAGTGCTCATGTGTCTTATGTAAACAAAGGATATGCTTATATTTGGAAAACTGTCCAATCAAAGCCCAGTTTAGAGACACAGAACCATATATCCGTCCTGATGTTGCTTATCAACAGTTAACATCTAAATCTCAGGAGAAGGATGTAGGCAGGTCACTTTAGTCTAATTTTACCAACTATAGTGATATTTACTGTATTTCAGTTGAAATTATAGGAATTATATAGGAATTATATAGGAAAATTATTTTTTCATCTACACATAAATTAGCACACACAATTTTAGATACATTGGATGTCTTTGGGATGGGGGAGGGGATTTCTTCTTCCTGGGTGGAATAAGTAGCTATCTTATCTACAACTATCAGGATTATATTCATTCTAAAAATTCAGAATTACATCAGATTGGAAAGAAAAACCCAACAGTTTATTTACAAATCAAATCCAAGCATATTTACTAAGAATAAAAACCCACTGAATTTGAGAAGGCTTATTCCCAAACAACTATTCACAGGTTAATGTAACCTTAATTATTCATTTAGATGTGATACTTAGCATTACGCAAAAGAATTCTCTATTAGTTGAAGAGGGTCATTATAAGTCTTAGTGACCATTTATATCCTAGGTGAATTGCTTCAGGCATAAACTTAGAACTTCATGGCCTGATGCTACTTCAAATTCTAGCAAATCACCCAGCATTGTGCATATCTTCCAGGTCAGCCATCTTTCTTCCATGGACTATGCAGTGCCAGCCCCTGACTAGCAATAGGAAAATCTGGCTGTCTGCTCTTAGTCAGTAGATCAAAACCTCCTGTCCAATGCTCTTCAATCTTCATACTGCAAAGTCACTGACCTAGAAATCAGAGGTGTAATGAGACCTGTCACAACCAATTTTAAACCTGTACTGACAAGCAACGATATTAAATACATTTGCTGTACAATATACAGCACTACAGCAAAATCACAACTATGAATCTGTTCCATTTCAGTTCTGAGTGCATAAGAGAGATCTATTTGAAACACATTTAAAAGTTCATTAAAAAAGTATTGGAATCTTGAAAATTAGTGATACATTTGAAACTAAAAAGATATACCACATCGGAACATGTGTCCTTCATTATCAGGTTGGTCTTTTCCCACAATTGTCTATTAGCAGCCCTACCCTGAGAGAACATTACCAGTGACAAATAAAAAAAGTTGTTTCCATAAAAGCTACAGGTATCAAGATGTTTCACTCTTGATTTTGTTATTTGTTACACTGTACATTGCATGGTGAGCTGGTGAGAAAAACTTTTTGCAGAGGAACCAATTGGGTATACTTAAATAAGCACAGGTTTTTATTTTTAGATTATGCTTCACTATGCCAAACAAAATACCAATCTTGATGATATACAGATGAATCCCACCAATGTAAACACATGTTCAAATTGTAGGTCTGCTGTTTAAAAATAAGGGATGGGATTTCCATCTATGTAAGCAAAGCAAGATATAAAGACACATAGAGAGACAAATGCTTACCACATGTTTCAGAAGAACATTGTTCACTGAGTAAAATCCAAATCCAAATTTTGAAATATCATATCCACAGAATTGTGCATACAGAATATTTCATATTCCTATTATGTTAATTCTGCAAATTAATGCATACATTCACATAAATCACCACAATTTCCTACATTACATGACAAAGCTTTCCTTAACTACATCTCCCTATGTTTAATACAATGTTCATAATTTAATAGTCACAATTAAACATAAAAGCCTACATAATATCAAAGGAGCAATTTTCTACTTCCATTACTTCTATTAGTACAGCAGCAGGTAATATGATGATTTAAAGTGTTGGACTTAGAACTTGCGAAGTCCAGGTCTAGATCCTTCCTCAACCACAGAAGAACAGTGAGTGACTTTGGGCCACCTCAGAGTTTTTGTGGCAAATCTTCCAGCTCCTTCTAAACAGAGGCCATCCAGATCTCAGGGGAAACTTCATTCCAGAAGGCAGGCGCTGCTGTTGCTACAGAGAAGGTGACGTTCCATGTTTCAATACATGGCATCATTTAGTCAAAGGAACCCAGAGTGCACCAACTCTGCAAGATTGAATTGGCTGGGTAGATATTATGGGAGACAGTTGGCTCCTCAAGTAATCAGGCCCTATGCTATGTCCAAACCTCAGCAGAACAAATCACCCAGATTCTACCCACTCCCCCCACCTAACCTATAAGCAAGTACCATAACAATGAAACCAACCAAAAGACCCAGGGCAGTGAAATTCACAAGGTTAACATCGGGGAGGGGGGGAGGCAGAACACCAAAGGCTCCAGAGGCTGCAAAAAACTGCAGCGGATACAAAATTATGGAATACTGAGAATATATACTGAAGTAAGAATCCTTTTAAAATATACTAAGGTATAGTAACAGCAGAACATAAGAGACAGCAAGCACTTTTCTTCTGACTTGTATGAACTAACTAACCTAAATTAACCTGCTGTTAATTTAATTACAGATTTATGAAATAAGGCATCTTTAATCCTTAATTTACAAAGCCTGCTTCTTTCAATAAACCATAGATAAGATTAGCTAGGATTGAGGCATAATCCTGAACTCTGTGTAATTTGAAGCTTCTGATCTTGAGGTCTTCAGGCAAAGGAGGAGGAAATACACTACCTTGAAATGTGACTTGTTCCATACCAACTAATCACAACTCATTATCTTTGATTGAACATGGATTTTATAAATTATAAAGGTACAAATTCAGTAGAAGTTCTACAATGCTGGATTTCTAGTAGTCTTGGATCAATGAAGAGTTTTATACTAAATCCCTATTATATTAGCTGTCTCTAAATACAAGAGAATAAGTAGAGAAATTTACTAAGGCTGTACAAAGTATTCAAAGTGCACTGGTGCAAGCAATACATTTCTCTTGAAATGTGGAGCAGCTACACTCCCCAGAACATTTGGTGTGACTGCAAGGACTTTCTCAGGTTGTCTATGTGTGCATATGCTTGCATGACATGAAGGAAATGGCTGTGTATGCACAGTTATGAGGGAAAAATTTGAGGAAGCCCTTGAAGCAGCAGAACTGAGCCTTCTAAAGAACAGAGCTGCCCAATGCTTCAAGTTTGATGGTTTGCTCACACCAATATGTTTTATACTGTACCCCTTCAAATGTTTTGAACAATCCTGTATCTTAATACTAAATCCTTTACTGTTTGTTAAAACTAAAACTACTTCGCTACTAATAATGAAATGGGCTGAGGAATGTTGATTTTTTTCATTCTTTCTCATTTTCATCTTTATTATTAAGGACATTTTCTTATTTATGGTTGCATAGTCAATTCAGCTGGCAGGATTCACAAATATGTACAATGTGGACTATGTATAAAATTCTTCCATATGTAGACAGAAAGACGTTAATGAAGTTAAAATATCACTGTCATCATTGCTATGTCATGCAGTAATGTTATTCTTTAGTAAAGATATTCTCTGACAACCAAAATATCAATTGATATGGATATTGGAACTACTTAGTGAAATCAATACTAGTGAGGATAGAATGAGGGAAGAAAGTAGTCAACATATTCTATGTGTTTAAAAAATAATAGAAATCAGGCATTCCTATTTTCTCATAGGTTAGAGATTCTAACCTGTTATGGAATTGGCACTTCCCCATTGTTATTATTATTAAGTATTATTATTATTATTCCCCATACACACACACACAATTTTTATTGAAGATTTTAATTACAGTAATAAAAACTAATACAAACTAAACTCAGAGAGAGAAAGGCAGGTAAAAAGAGAGAGTAAAAAATGCAAAGAAAGAAAAAGAAAGGAAAGAAAAAGGAAAGAGTGAAATAAAGAAAAAGAAAAGAAATATATAAACAAGTGACTTGCAATCTTCATCACAAGTATAAACAAATTTTATAGTTCTTCACCCCCTATAAGGTTGCAAACAGATATCTCTTCTTCCCATAACCTATCCCTTATCTATAAGCAAGTCCATAAGACATCAACTTTAAAATCTGGTGTCAGCAAAAAGTCCATAAAGGATTGTCAGAATTTCATAAAAACATGTCTTATTTTAACCTTGATCAAATAACCCAATTTTATATTCCTTCCTTTTACTTCTGAAAATCTTAATGTTTAATTCATTCAGATATTGTCATAGGATTTGACCTCTCTTCAATTCTTCTTTGTCCCATCAAATAGGCTTCTTTGAGGCTTTAAAAGGACTCTTTTGTAAATCCAATAAAAACTATCCAGATCATTCTCTTGGTTTATCATTTCTATTTCCCCTTTAATTTTTAAAACTTCAACCAGCT